TCACCTAGCCTAGCCTAGGTCTTTTCCTTACAATCGTTGAGCACTAGAGTCATCACGACCCAACCCAGATCTGTTCCCTAGTGGCCAGAGTCACCACACACAGTGGAATAATTTCCCTGGACTAAATACACAGATGGTCCCAATAATCAATTCACATTCGCAAAACACGGTAGTTCATCATTATAAACATGAAACCAAAACAAATAGTTTGTAGTATGCCAAGTTCACACGTGTTTTAGAAATAATTTGATTACATAGATAATATAATAATTTATCAAAACAGTTTAGTCCTGAAACAACAATTAAATTTTCTAACAGTTCAGGGTAGGGGAACATTTATAAAAATATGTAGCATAAAACTACTCACCTAGAAACGAAATAATGTAATCCTCGAATAGAGTATAAAAGTCCAACTAGTGTCCTAAACCAAGTATAAAAACTATACGTTACTATTAATTTAAAAATACTAAAGAATAGAAATTAAGCAACCTCAAACTTAAAGCGTACTAACACGGCTCAATCCAACTCACCGTTACTCTTAAATATTATCTAAGTTCATGTTCTTCAAGGTCTAAAATCACCCAAGACATGGGTTCCGGTCGAAACTTAATTAAATGTGACTTTAAGATAAAATAGAATTTTTGATAGGTTTTCCCAAACTGTTCACTAACTCTGAAAATTAAAAACCCCACTCTACATCATTCGAAAAATTCCAAAACCCTCCAGATATCAACTAATATATCCTAAGGTTCAAACCCAATTGGTTCTACTTGATTTGCTTATCAAAATAATTATTTATAATTAATTATACCCAAATAGGTTGTTTTCTGCAGCACTTTAATTAAATTAATGGTTCTCTTAGTATACAGGAGCAATCAACGCAAGGCCAAAAATGTAAGAAACTAGACTAGTAACCGGTTTTAATGACGCTGATTTGATAATTTTCGGATTTATACCCAAAGAGAACAATACTCCCAAATTTACTGTTCACAATCAGTTTTCTGGACAGATTTAAACCCATTAGTTTATATGGATTTTGACTCCTAAAAATTATGAAAAAATTCAGATATGAAATTCAATATGTAATTAATCTACTGTAAAAATTTTAGTTCAAAATTCATTTTGTTGATATGGTTTCTTGATTTTTAAAGTTTGTAATTCTGTGCAGAATTCTTATCCAATGACTTTAGCTCCTTAATTCGCTTTAAAATTTGGCAGGATAATAATATACACAAAACACTAACCCAATCAGCCAAACCATTCCTTTTCTTCCAACAACTCACAACACCCACAAGCACCATAACTATGTAAACAACAAACTATAATAGAAGAAGAATAAATTGATTGTTACCTTAGAGTTGTTCAGCCACAAAGTATTTCTCTCTCTCTCTCTCTCCCTCGTGGCTGCTGTTACATGTTGAAAGTGTTGTGCAAAACAATTATAATAAGGGTTAGGATTTTTGTTAGGAAAACTAGGGTTGCTTTATATATATCTAAACTTAAAAGATTCTAAATTACTATCCTGTGTTTTATTTTATTGTATTTCCTCTCATCATTAATTTAAATAAAATACAACTATTATTAAATCAAAATATACATACTAACTTGCCCCCTATTTTTTTTTTTAAATAATAAATCTTACCTCTAAATTAGAGATTTCCACCATAAATTTATTTTAGGTTTAAAATTAATTAAAAGACCTTCAAAATATTTAATTTGCACTTTAGGATTCACCACCAAAATATTTTGAGATTGTAATATTATTATTATTTAATGATTTACTTGATTTGTATATTCCGGTTCTCACATTGATAGGGTGGATCAAAATTGATGTGTGGAGCAGGTTGGTTTGGAATTGGAGTACTTGACTCTTTATTAGAGGAGTGGGGGTGTAAGCATAAAAATGAGGAATTATACCTAGTATTGAAGGGTTTTGTCCAAGCACTTGGCTAAATGGAATGTCCCACTCACTAAATGTGGGATTGAAGTTTTCTTGAGGCAAAGTTGTAGCAGGAGGTTCTTGCCTTTTCTTTGACCTCATTTCTTTTGAAGGTGGTTGAGTTGCCCTTGTCCTCCTTTGTTCTTTTGCCTGGAGAGCTGTAATGAAGTCTCCTATAAGCTTAGGCACAGATGGAGAGGCATTTGGGTTGACATTTGGATCCATTGGTGCTTTGCCTTTGTTTTTATCTCTGATTGGAACTTCAGTAACAGGAGGAGGCACTATGGGAACAAATGTAACTGCATGAGTCAAAGAAACTAAGAATAAGAGACAGTTGATTTAAAAAATGGAAATACATTGATTGTTTAAAAGTTGAAATGGGTTTACCTGTGGTCTTGAGGCTTGAGATTGATGGCTCAAAGCCTTAGTTATTAATAGAGACTTCTTTGAGACAAACCTCAAGAGGTCCATGGAAGATCACTGCAGCCATGAGGGTCCACCGATGTTCAAAGCCCTTGGTGAGATCAAAAGCATGTTTGAAGAAGTAAGTGCTAAAGTCTTGAAGAGTCTCTTTCTCTGTTTTGATCAATTGTGCTTGGAAGGAGTCTATGATGCTAATTCTCTTTCCTATTTCTTCGTGGATTGTAGAATGAAAGTAGGGGTAAGGTGTACACTGAGTAAGCCCAAATTGTCATGCCCACTAGTTGGGGCAATAGTTTTCAAAGCTATAGCTAGACATTCCGGTAGAGGAGACAGAACATGCAACTAGAATGTGTCTGCAAGTGAAAACATTCTTCTATGTCTCAACTTGAGATCTTATTTGGTCATCTGCTAAATTGGAAGGGTCCATGGAGAGATGTGCTAGTTTGGAGGAAGAAAATCAACAGCCATGAAATGGCTTGAAGAGAAGAGGTTTTCTACCAAATGGAAAATTGAAGAATGTGGTAAGGTAGTGAGAAAAGCCAAAGTTAGGTTTATTAACAATGGCTAGAAAGTACTCTACATAAAAGTGGTGGTTTGGGATCATGATATTTGGCTTTGGGGGTTGTACTTTAGAGAAGTAGGTATACAACTAAGCTTGAAAAAGCCAGAAGGGTCCACCACAGTTGGATGATATCTTTTTATCAACAAAGGAAAACATGCCTTTGTAGAGGTTGGCAAGTAAGTAGGAAGCAAAAGTCATGGATTGGCCATCTTGAAGGCATAAAGTCAATGGGAGGTATTCTTTGGTAATTTTGAAGTCAGGAACACAAAAAAGGAATTGGCAAAGCCAAACAAGGTAAAAGGCAGCTCTTTCTTGATCATCGACAGAGTGTTTCTCTTGCCTTTGTATTTTTTAATAAAGTCGGCATAACTCATGTCAATATTGAGAGTGAAAGTTGCTAGTGAAGGTTCTAGTAAGGCACTAATTTATAACCCTAGGATGGGAAGTCCCATTAAGTAGGCTACATCTAGAATGGTAGGGGATATCATGCCAAATCCTAGAAGCATTGAGTTGCAAGATTGTGACAAAAAACAAAAAGCAACAGCAATTAACCACCTGTTCATATCAAATTTAAGGATTGACAGTCGAATTACCTCACTAATGCCTAGATGTTTCTGTATATTTAAGTCATGAGCTTCAATTTGTTTAACCCAGCTTTGCCAGGAAGAGTCTGGTTGCCTCCATGATTGGAAAGGGTTTTTGTTGTTGTCCCAATTCACCCTATTGAGTTTTGGTTGGTTGAGAAGTAGGGTTTCACCATTGGCAAGTGGTAATATGGAGCTAGTTCGTATGGAAAATAGGCTGCATATGTAGGTCATAGTGTTGCTTTGGCTACGGTGGTGGTACTTAGGATCAAGGTTAGGTCCAACTTCAAAGAACTGGTGAGGTCCTTAACTGCTTTTGGGGAATCGAAGGTGTTCATCACTAGTTTCATTTTCTTTTTGAGAGTTCAACTTCTTGGGAGCCATGGTTCAAAGTTTGAGTTGCTTGGTGTTTTGGTATAAGAGTTTCGAAGGAAGTAGGATGAAGCTGAAATGAGATGAAGTTGAACAGTTTGAGCTTTTATAGCTTATGTTGGGCCCAGTGTTCGGATTTGCTTGAATTAAGTATGTTATTTGGGCCTAGAGAATGAATTTATTTAAGTTAAAATCATTGTTATTTATTTAACTTAAACAATGGGGGCATTGTTTGTATCTATTTCTGTATAACTTCTGTTGACGGGTGGACCAATCAGATGGTGTCACATGGCAGTGAAGTCAAGGCAAAGTCTTTTGGCATTCAAGTGGCTACGTGGCATAAAGGAACATGCTTAGATGGATGAAGGCAATCATGGGGCAATTATCAACCAGTTTGTGGCTTAGTAGGTTGGTTTGTAGGAGATGATGCTTACAAGGTTCTCTATTGATATGCGGCTTAGAGTAATGAGGGGCATGTAGCAGCATGGAAGAGAGTTAATTCGACAGGCAGAGTGGCAGGCTTAGTAGAGTTTGAAAGCTTGGAAGTGAGGAGGCAGTTACAATTGCAGTTAGAGAGTTGTAGGTGCAGGTTTGAAGGAGCCATGTGATCATGGGGCAAAGAAAGAGGAGGAAGTATAAAAGCCGGAAGTTTGCAAAGAATAAGACATCAACAACACAACACTTAGCTTTTAGATTAGCTTTTATCTTAGGAGTAGTTCATCAATTTAGGAGTAGTTTATCAACTCTTAAACTTTTTGAACTTTGGTGGTTTCATCTTGAAATCATCATTTGTTTACTTTGTTTACTCCATCTTTCTTGCTTATTGTAACTTTCGTTTCAAAGAAATCCTTATACTTTCATGACATTCGAATCAAAAAACACAGTGGCTTGATCTTTCGGTTTGATTGTTTGTTTAAATTATTATGCAGCTTACATACCCATCACAAATCTCTTTACTCATCTTTTTTTTTTTCTTTTTTCTTTTTTCTTTCTTTTTTTTCTGATAGATGAAGTCGTGACACTATCAAAACAAATACCTCTGTCCTCACAAAATTTCTTTTTCATAAATTCGAATTGAAGCAGACCATTTTTAAAAAGAGAATAATGCATTTAAGTTTCATATAGTACCATTTTCTCTTTTAGAGAAGTATAGGTATACAATTTTTGGTGACTGCATTTAAAATTTACAATATTCTATACAAAGAAAGAGAATTAATGTTATGCATTCACACAGATACAGTACATAAAAAATAACCAGGAAAGCAAAATGAACCCAATTTTTAAATTTGTTATTATAATAATTTTTTTAATGGAAAACAGGACAGCCTTGAACCACAATACCAGGGGCAGTAGGTCATTTAGCTAGAGGGCAATGATCATCTAAAGCCATGCCCCACCATTTGATTCCATTGATATCCCTAATTTGCAAAGTGAAATAGCATAGAATGGCCATGAAAGCAACCCCAGCATCAAGTGCAGCAGAGAGAATATAGTTGTGCCTAACCCACCAAGCCTTGTATCTCCTATATACCACAAAATTGAAGGCAATACCCACAGCCAACCAACACCTATAGTTCACTGCCTTCACAAGTGGAAAACCCCCTGCACCTCCTATAAGAATAGGCATGTTTATCAATTTTATCCACTTTTTCTCCGGATACTTCCGAGACAGTAACCAAACCGGCATTGGTGCTATTGCTCCGATCAGAAAGAAATAGTTTATCTTTTGATATAACCCAAGGCTTCCAAACATTCGTAGTGGACCAACCACCCCCCATATCACCGACGCGTTGTAGAAAAAATCGTCTTCAGGGCACGTCCACGGGCTTCCTTGTGGCAGTTTTGATGGATCACATATGTTTTGCACTGTGCTCAGTAGCCACCAAGCCGTGCCAAAGTAGACTGATGATGCAACTATTGTTCCTACTAACTGCAACATTAATTAATATTGTATTCATTACAGTTGATTAATAACCGAAGTATTTGTAACAATTTAAGGACACAAATAAATATAATTACCTGAACAACAAACATGGATTTCGGAGGGACTTTCATGTAATGGCCAAGCTTGAAATCTGAGAGAAACATGATTGCTTGTGACATGCTTATGTAACCGTAAGTTTCGAAGGTAACATTGGCAAGAGGTTTCCCCGGGTACATGAAGCCGATAATTAACTCAGTGATCACATATAGTCCCGGTTGCTGGCTTGCCCAAATTAAGACAATTTTAGCATAAAATCTAACAAAAACCTGATTATACATGACGGTGTTTGTATATATAGATTTCTACTAGCTGTGAGTGCAAATGCAATACCTTTGCAATTTTACATCTAACTGGTGATTCGATGAATGAGGACATAAGTAGAAAAATTAAAAGATTGAGGACTATGAGTGTAATTAACTGATATGTACCTGGTTTGTGGTAGCTGTAATGACGCCGATAGGCAAAGTGAAGACAAAAGCCAAGGCCATTGCCAGTAGGACTCCCCAGTAAGGGAGCTGTAATTGTCTGCCAAACCCTTCACAAGCAAGCATGGATAATCCAACAACCAACATCAGGATCGCGTAAAACCACCATTGAGGCACCACATCGTAGTTTTTCTTCATCAGCCTTGTATGTACATCCCCTATCTTATCTTGGAACGATACCTTTGTTTGTTCCCAAATTGTCCTGCCAGTGCCAATCAAATGACAAATTGATTGCGATCAAGGACACTCATATACATATATTTATTCGATCAAATGAGGGGAAAAGATATAGACATACCTCCCATAGAAGAGTGCAACATGAGATAATGTAGCAGCCAATGCTGCAAAGGTTAAACCATAAGAGAATACAAACACAATACTTAGATTAACTTCGCTGTAACTATCATATCCTTGTTGATTGAAATAGAAGGTTGTCTCGTTCAAAACTAAGGAGACATTGTAGAGTCCTCCTTCATCGTTGAACACATGCGCAGAAACAATTGGAAATCGCTTTGCTCCAAACAAGTTGGTCCAGTAAGCAGTGGGGATAACTATGTACACAAATACTATGTAACTGACCAGTATGTTCATGATGGCAAATCCAGGAGTGGCTAAAGGACTTCCTACGAAACCAGCAACTGTTGACCAATCAAGCGCAAACGAGCCTATGCCTAGGCCACGTAGACCAGAACCAATTTGTTGGGCTGTCACTGACTTCTTCCATATCCAACAAATGAATGACAAAGCAGTGATCGATGGAAACAAGTAGTTAGGAACGATGTAGTATGAGAAGCTTGATACGAGGACTACAATGAAGAATTGGAGTCGCGTAAGACCTCCTTTAGGCCTAGTTTCACCATCGTGCAATGCCCTACAGTTTTCAAAAATAAAAATGAAAAATGAAATAGATAAAAAGGAACAGAAAGAAAAAAATTGTTTGTATCTGTGTCAGAGAGAGAGAATACCTAAACAGGGAGACCTGAACCAGATTGGCAGGCCACCACATATATGGTGAATCAACTAGAAACTTTCTGAAAATACCAGCCCATCCGTATCCGAGCATCTAAAACAGAGATAGTTTTTAGTTGAAGTGGATAAAGTGATACTGACTAATCATTTAAACTTAAAGTTTTCAGGGTTATTTATTATATAAGTATATAATAACAGATACAAAAGAAGAGACTTGCAAATGAAGATTGTAAAGCAGAGGATTGGCACACGCACCTGGGTAGTTTGTGTTAACAACATGGCTGTAAGAGGATGAAGTTGGCGGTGATAGAACGCCTTCACTATGGTAATAATACCCACTGCGAGAACATAATTTGAACCTGAATTGGCGAAAATGGTGATAAGGACATGCTCTTTCAAGTTGAATGGCCCTGGATTCAATGAAAATGACCATTTTGTTGCTGGGATTCGAATAGATTTGTTTGGTAGATATGATGCCATGAGCTTTCCAATTGGAAGTACGGCAATTTGGGCTGAAACAGATGAAACATATAGTGGATTTTGTCGATAACCAAAGAATTGGTTCAAGAATGCCAGAATTGAGCAAGAAATAATCCCCAAAAACCATGTTCGAAATGTCAAGCAAGGTAATGTTGGATCATCTGTTATTGGCACTGTGAGGCGGACTTCCTCAATTGGACAATCATTCTCCTCATCTGCACAAACTTTTGTTTCATTATATACTAATTGATCTCAGAAATTACAAATATAAAATTTGCTCTTGTTAGCTGTTCGTAAATTAGTGTTTGACTGGATTGTAATTCAATCTAGAAATGACATGGATTACAAACTGAGCTATTACTTGTATAATTGTATTTGTCAAGTAAATAGTGAGACTCAGACACTGAATTTACTCCTTGCTCTAATACCATATTAAATTGTAAATCACCAACTCATCTAATACTATAGCCGAGTAAGAGAAGTAAATCTAATTAGAAGAAGAGCGCGTGAAGGTATAATTACATGAACATACGGTTTGATAATTTTACTCTTTTTTTTTTCTTTTTCTTTTTTTTTTGTCATATAAATTATAATCTAGAAACGGGGCAATGCTCACCAGATATTTCAGCAGTGAGAGTGTCTGAATCAAGTTTCTTGGGCCGATATGAGTCTGACAGAGAAGATTGCTCCATGCTTCAACACAACACAAGTGGTGGTAGTAGCAGTAGAATAGACAATGTTATAGTGTGATGAAATGGAAATGGAATTGATTGCGTACTAGTGTTTGATTTCATTCTGGCCTCTTTCGCTTTGTTTTCTTTATCACCATTTCATATTCTTTAATCATCTTCCTGTTGGGTCTATTCCAGTTTTTGAGTTAGGAAAATGACCCAATATTCTGTTAAGGACAATATATGATTTCTCACTAGTAAATCAATCAATGGAAATAAAAATTAATACGGAAAAATTAAATCAATAGCAACACAAGAATTCTACGTAGTTCCTTCAATGTGAGGTACGTCTATGGAATCAAAATCCGATTCTACTATTAACCAAAAAGTTTCCAAACGATTACAAACGAAACACGAATGGTCTCACAAAACAAAATCCAATTCCACTATCAACCAAAAAGTTTCCAAATAATACAAACGAGACATGAATGATCTTACAAACTACCCTTAGGTGAATTCCAAATAATCACAAATAAACAAGAGGAAAAATTCTCACCAAAAAATGAACAAAAATTTTCAAAACAGAGTTATAGAAGATCCAAAATAAATTAACCCAAATCAAAGCAACCAGTTGAAGATCCACTGACACAATGTCTGAAAGCACCAATGAAATATTCCAAGCAACATAGAACAAAGCATAACCACCGAATTGATGTGTCTAGCCACCGTTACTCCTTCGGAAACAATATATATATATATATTATGACTATTGGGTTTTTATCAAAAACCCTAACTGTTACCAACTTGAATTGGGCCTCCAAAAGTTAGATTTAATTTATTATAACTATATATATAACCAACACCAAGCCAAACTAAACTCTTTTAATAAATCAATTGGGTCTCATACTCCAATAAGGAGATATAACCAACAATTCTCTTCCTACCGACACTAGGTGGAGACATCAACCATACCGGCCAAAGTTTGACACTTTAAATGTTTGTCCCTCGACAAAGTCTTAGTCAACATATCCAAAATATTATCATCCGTGTGAACTTTTTTGAGTTTGTAACAATTTCGAATCTAACACATCACGAATCCAATGGTATCTTACATCAATGTGTTTCGATCTTGAATGAAAAGTAGAATTTTTACTCAAATGAATAGCACTTTGACTATCACAACAAAGCACATACCTTTCTTGCTTTAAACTCAACTCTTGCAAAAATTTCTTCAACCATAACTCTTCTTTGCAAGCTTCCATAATGGCAATAAATTCAGCTTCGGTAGTTGAGAGAGCAATATATTTTTATAATTTAGATTGACATGCCACAGCTCCCCATGCAAATGGTCATCACATACCTCGAAGTAAATTTCCTAAAATCAACATCACCGGCCATGTCAGAATCTATAAACCTATCAAGCATCGACTTACCATTTCCAAATCACAAACACACCTTCGAAGTCCCTTGAAGATACCTTAAAATCCATTTTACCGCTGCCCAATGTTCTTTATCCAGATTAGAAGAGAAAACGACTCACTACACCAACGGAGTGAGCAATATCCGGCCTTGTACAAACCATGGCGTACATTAAGGAACCAACCGCTAAAGTATAAGGAATTTTTAACATCTCTTCCTTGTCTTTCTTACTTGTAGGACATTGATTCGAACTAAACTTGAAGTGACCCACAAGTGGACAACCAACCGGCTTTGCTTTATCCATGTTGAACCTCTCAAGAACTTTCTCAATGTAGCTTTCTTGAGACAACCAAATTAGCCCCTCTTTGCGATCATGAACAATTTTCATACCAAGTATTTGCTTTGTCGGTCCCAAATCTTTCATGGTAAAAGACTTGCTCAACTCCAATTTCAACCTGTTAAGCATGGTAGAGTCTTGACCTACAATTAACACGTCATCAACATAAACCAAAAGAATAATAAATTTTCCATCCGAAAAAAATTTCAACAAACACACAATGGTCCGAAGTAGTTTTAGAAAAACCATTATTCATCATAAAAGAGTCAAATTTTTTGTGCCATTGTCGTGGGGCTTGCTTGAGGCCATACAATCTTTTCTTCAATTTGTACACAAATTTCTCTTTCCCTTTTTCCACAAAAACCCTCTGGTAGCTCCATGTAAATTTATTCTTCAAGATCACTATGAAGAAATGCGGTCTTCACATCAAGTTACTCAACTTCAAGGTTCATTCTTGCGGCCATGCGAAGTACAACTTGAATAGAAGACATCTTCACAACCTGCGAAAAAATCTAATCAAAGTCAATACCTTTCTTTTGCCCAAAGCCTTTCATAACAAGACATGCCTTTGTACCTCAGATTCTTGCCATCATTTTTCAATTTGAAGACCTACTTATTTTTCAGAATTTTACTCCCTTTAGGCAACTTCACTAAATCATAAGTATGATTTTCAAGTAAAGAATTCATCTCCTCTTTCATGGCTTTTTTCCAATCATCTCTTTATATGCTCAATTGCAATCTTAGTAGCTCTCAGGCTCTCCTTGATCGGAAATCAACACAAATTCATTGCGAGGATACTTTCTTGAAGGTTGTCGGTCCTTGTAGATTTCCTCAACTTAAGTTTGTGGTGGCGGTTCTTGCTTTGGATGCTCTTTTTCAATTTTAGCTCAACTTCATTAGGATTAGCTTCATCCTCCACATCTTCAATAGGTGGCTGCACATCTCCCCCATTTCAACATCAACTGAAGATGAAGGAAATGGATTCATGTCAATGAGATTACTAGTTTTTAGCTCTGGTTGATCACCTTTGCCAAGTCTTCAATTGTTTGGTCTTCAAAAACACAACATCATGACTTTGAATGATTTTCTTGTCGATCGGATCCCACAATCAATACCCGAATTTATCACGCCCATAGCCAAGAAAAATAACATTGTCTTGACTTACTATCAAGCTTGGACCTCTTCATCCTTTGGAATGTGAACAAAAACTCGACAACTAAACACTCTCATGTGCTCATAAGACACATCTTTGCCAGTCCAAACTCTTTCAGGAACATCACCATTGAAAAGATAAGAATGAGACAAATTAATCACGTCAACTGCTGTCCGCATTGCCTCACCCCAAAAGGACTTTGGCAATTTAACATGTGAAAGGAGACACCTTGTTCTTTCCATAATGGTGCAATTCATCCTCTCAGCAACGCCATTTTGTTGATGAGTCTTCTTAACTATCTTTTGGTGTCGAATACCTTAGCTACAACAATACTATCAAAATGGCCCAATGTATTCACCACCATTGTCTGTTCGGATGCACTTCAATTTATGCACTGTCTCCTTTCAACCATGGCCTGAAAAAGTTTAAAATACATCTAGAACTTGATCTTTAGTTTTTAGTATAAAAAGCCTAAACTTTCCTTGAATAATCATCAATGAAAGTAACAAAATAAAGTGCACCACTATGTGTTTCTAACTTTAAAGGACCACAAACATCATAATGAATTAACTCCAAAATATTTTCTTTTAACATTTTTATGAAAAGAAACATTATGTTGTTTACCCGCCAAAACAATAAACACAAGTTTTAAGATGTTGTACCTTTCAAACCGATAGAAGCTCTTTATTGAACAAAACTTGCAGCACCTTTTCACTCATGTACCCAAGCCGCTTGTGCCACAATTCGGTAATAGAAGTATCATCTTCAAGTGTATTGACAACATGTTTACAAATTTTTTCTTGCATCAAATAAAGTATATGAATCTTCTTGCACTTAGCCACTACAAAGAACCCTTTGTGAGCTTCCATATTCTATCACCAAATTTGTTGTTGTAGCCTTCCATCATCTAGCTTCCCAGTAGAGATCAAATTAAGGCGAATATTGGAACACGCCTCACATCTTTAAGCAACAACTTACAACCCAAATTTGTTTTCAAGCAAACATCACCCATGCCAATAATCTTAGACAAACCTTCATTACCCATTAGAACACAACCATAATCTCTTTTGGTGCATAAGTGAAGAAATTAACTCGAGAAGTCATATGAAAAGAAACACCATAATCAATCACCCAATTGCTCTCTTGACCCACAAAAATTGATACAATCATCTTCACAAACGACCATGAGATCATCGGTAGTAACCACCATTGGTGTCTTCTTGCTTCTTATCTACACTCTTGTCATGTCTTTTCTCTTTGTTCTTGAACTTTCGGCATTCCCGCTTCATGTGCCTTTCTCATGGCAATAATGGCACTAATGTCTTTCTTTGAAAAAGAGTCATCTCTTGATTTGTCACGACTTTGATCATGACCATGAGGAGTCTTACTCCACTCCCTTGTTTTACTTCGCCCTCTCACAACAAATGCCTCCGAATGAGAGGAACCCACTGATTTTTTTTCTAGTTTTTTCATTCAACAAGCTACTAGTGACTTGACTCAATTTAACAACTCCACCAGGTGCCGATTACTAACCGTCACAACCAAAGTCTCCCAACTTTCGAGCAAAGAACATATAGCATCAAAACCTGCAACTCAATCATCAAAAAAAAATTTCAATAGAATCTCTT